GTTTGTTTCTGTTTGCATTTGTGTGTTTGTTTTTGTTTGTATTTGTGTGTTTGTTTTTGTTTGTATTTGTGTGTTTGTTGTTATTCGTATCTGTGTGTTGTTTTTGTTTGTATTTGTGTGTGTTTGTTTTTGTTTGTATTTGTGTGTTTGTTTTTGTTTGTATTTGTGTGTTTATTTGTTTTTGCTTGTATCTGTGTGAGTTTGTTTTTGTTTGTATATGTGTGTGTTTGTTTTTGTTTGTACTTATGTTTGTTTTTTTGTGTATGTGTGCTTGCCCGTAGGTGACGATAATCTTCCCTTATAAAAGATAACCAATAATCGGTCGTATATGCAGAAGGAATGTTGCAATTCTCCTAGGACTATGGCACAAATCAGCGCCTCCTCTCCACTTCAAGACGTTTGATCTGAGTGCATTTCGGGACTCCAAGATGCATATCCACACACGGATTCTGCACAGCATCCAACCTTTTCGATATTGAGTTCGATGCCGAGCCATGCAAGATTGATCCATAATATATTTTACATTTAATTAGGGCTTTATAACAACATATTTTTAAAAATTGCATTTGCAGCGGAGAACGAGAAAGAGAGACAGAGACAGAGACAGAGACAGACATACAGAGAGAGATACAGAGAGAGGCACAGAGAAATAGAAAGAGAAAGAGAAATAGAGAAAAAGAGATGTATAGAGTAAACAAGAGAAAGAAAGCCACGAAAGAAACAAGCAAACAAAAAAATAAAGAAAAGAAGCTTAAATACCCAATAACCGCATGTCCGCCCCACAGAGTGTGCCCCAGGTCATCGCCTCCAGGACACCAACGAGACAAAATTTAGGACATCTCTCAGACGGGCGTTGCCAGACAGGGTCAAACACACACACACACACACACACACACACACACACCCCCTCCCTCCCTCCCTTCCTCCCCTTCCCTCCCCCTCCCCTTCCCTCCCTCCCCCTCCCTCCCTCCCTCCTTCACCCTCCTCCCTCCCCCCTCCCCCCCCTCCAGCGGTCATGGGGACGTGACCTTTGACATTGACTGTGTGACTGCTACATCCTGGAAAGCACACGTAAATAAGGGCAGATGGCGTAAAATGATATCCCAGTTTTTTTTTTGTTTTCGTTCTTTCTTTCTTTTAGATGGGAATCAGGATATTGAAGTATCGTTTTTTTTTCTTTTCTTTTCTCTTTTTTTAAGGAATATAGGAGTATCGTTTCTTTTTTTCTTTTTTTTTCTTTTTTTTTTTTAAGATGGGTATTGGGATATAGGAGTGAGGCAGGTTGTAAATGACACAGTAGTATCGAAAATAAGTTTTTTTCTTTAAAAGTCTAAGGGTTAAATAAATGAACAGATGAATATTGTGGTAAAGTTTGGAGAAAAAAATAAATAAAAATGACAAATACATAAAGATGAACAAATTCAAAGACATAACCGCCTTTATTATCCATAAAATCTAGATATACTAACAAAAAATTGGATAAAACATTACACCAATTACTCATAAACCATTAAAACAAAACGCAAATCATCTCATCTATATGAAAACATAAATATATATATATGCACCTTTTATAACCTTCGCTTGGGGTATGCATCTTTTATTAAAACAAAATGCAAATCATGCCACCTATATGAAAACATTAATACATATATACACCTTTTAAATCCTTCGCTTCGGGTATACATTTTTAAAACCTTCGCTTGGAGTATACATTTTTTTAACCTTCTCTTCGTTTGTACATTTTTTTTAAAGTTTCGTTCGGGGTATGTATCTTTTATTAAAACAAAATGCAAATCATCCCACCTATATGAAAACATTAATACATATATACACCTTTTAAAACCTTCGCTTGGGGTATACATTTTTTTTAAACCTTCGCTTAGGGTATGCATCTTTTAAAACCATCGCTTGGGGTATACATCCTTTATTAAAACAAAATGCAAATCATCCCACCTATATGAAAACATTAATACATATATACACCTTTTAAAACCTTTGCTTGGAGTATACATTTTTTTTAAACCTTCGCTTAGGGTATACAGCTTTTAAAACCTTCTCTTAGGTTATACATCTTTTAAAACCATCGCTTGGGGAATGCATCTTTTAAAACCTTCTCTTTGATTATACATCTTTTAAAACCTTCGCTTCGACTCAACCATTTTGTGTCACCCAAGCCTCTCTTAGGTTCTTAAAACTATTTTATTTCTCTGCCATGTTCGGGGACAGAAGTTGATCTGATTTATGCATTCGGGTCACACGTTCGGACGACACGCCTTGCGCAGCCGATGTACCTTGGGGTCATACCGTGAATAATTAATTTTATTCATGAGGTACGATGTGTGAGGTGAATTTATTTATGTGTCTATATGACATTTTCGCTTCAGATGTGTGTGACAGTATATATTTATGT